CTGAACTTCTTATCATTGATCAGATTGAAGGTGATATGATCTAGTGTTTTGCTACACGTGGTTGTAGAACCTACTAGGGATAACCAAGACATCAGAACTGCATAAGAACTGAACATCGTCGTCTTCAAAACAGAGTGTTGTAGAGTCACGATCAACATCTATAGTTCTTCAGGATAAACTGTAACATCACTTTCGACTTGATAATTGTTGCTTCGAAGTTTCATGATGGGTTGGGAAGAAACATTTTCTATTGTTTGAAATTACGTGACATTCGTTAAACTTCACCACTCCTGCATTCTTTAAACTTCGATAATCACGCAAATTCTCCTACTTTCTAGTCATGTGACGGAGCAACCACTATCAATGTACCATTTATCATCATATTGTTCGTCACATAAAACCTGCAATTAATGAAACAATTTAGGTACCCAAGGCTATTTGGGTCATTGGTAATTAGTTTTAAAGACAAAGTGAAATGAAGAACCAAAAACCCAATCACGAACTATTGATTTGAAAGTATCGAGTAAGTCCACATCATTAGATAAAGGAATAGAAACATAAGGCTTCGAAGGTTTAGAATTGCCACTGAAATTCACCTTTTTCTTCTCAGTTTGTTTTTCAACTGGCTTATCTTTCGAAACTGGTTTCCAAGCTTTCACAAAAATATTTGATTCTTTCGAAGACGAAATTCCATTTGAAGAATCATTCAGATACTTCTCATAAGCTTCTTGAATTTGTTGTTGTGAAAACTTGAGTGATTTGGGAGACGTGTGTGTTGGAAGTATTGATTTTGAGAAAATCTTTGTTGTGAATAATGAGGAAAATGATTTGTGGAATGTTGATTTTGAAATTTCTTGAATGAATTATTGAAATTTTTCGAAAAAGTTGTAGTTGTTTGATGTTTGGATTTCGAAACTGTAGTTTGTGGAATGGATTCAGACAATGGTTTTTTAATTTGAGCGTGACTTTTCTGATTGCCTGAATTTGTTGATGATGTGGTCTTAACAGATTTAGACTTTGTCTTTTCAGACAATTTCTTCTTCAAACCTTTTTGTTGCATTCGAGACTCAACAATTTGCCAAAAAAATTTCTTTCATGCTTGTCACTTTGAAATGTAATTATCTTTCGAAAACTTGTCAATTTCATCTTTAAATTCTTGAGAATTGATTTTAACAACTTTTCCAACATCCTTAACTGCTTGATTTGGGATGTTTTTTGAAAATTTTTGTTTTTCAACCCATTTTCTTTGAGGTTTTTGTCTTTGAAAAGTGTAAGTGCTCTTTGTGAGATTATTTTCGATAATACTTTGATTTGCAAAGAATCCTACATCAGTTGTGTGATTATTATCTTCTTCAACCAATTTGTTAAATTTAGGTTTAATGTTATCAACATTTCCTGTTGTCACAAATACTTGATTTGGAAAGACGACATCATATGTACAGTTGAAGTTAGGATACACCATTGAATTAGTTTCGAGATAATGAGCACCCTTTTCAGTCATTACTTTGTCGAATTTTTCCGTATCTCCATACACCTGATCAACAACAATTCGTGGAATTTTTGTTTCTTTCGAACCGTTGTTTGTTGATTTTGGTTTGTGTAAAACTTCATCATCATTTTCGTCATCACTGTTATCAGTTTGACTATCTCTGACACTCACATGATCGAAATCACAAACTTTTGAAGTTGAGGGTTTTTCAGTGTCAATCTTAACCAATGAATCATTACACTTTTCTTTTCCTTTAGACTTACATGTAACATTAATGATAGGTAACTGAGAACAATCAACATCCTCATTATCACTAATTTCGCTAATATCATCATAATTATCTTAGATATCAGCAAAATTAGATTGAGAACCAGATGTCGAATTTTCAGTCCTTTTCAAAATTTTAATTTGTTCATGTTTGGTCAAGGTATCATTTACAATATCAACTAATTCATCTGCATCAAGATATTCGTCTATTTTGACAATTCTATAAGCATACCTTTCATCAAGAATTCTATCAAATTCAGCGATGGTTTTCTCACAATCATAGGAAATATTATCAACCTTCTCTCTTTCATAGGCTATAAAAGGTAATAACTTCCTATGTTGGTCCTTGCTAATATCAGATGAATGATGCAAAGCAGTCAATTTTACATAAAGTCGTTTAGCAGAATTACAATAGATATTTCATTGTGCTAAGAATAATTTTACTTCATTACTTAACGAATCTCTATCACACATCATATTCGTAATCTGTAACTCTAGATATTCAACTTTTAATTTCTTGGAGTCTAACTGCTTCTGAACCTCAAGTAACTGAGTGGTAGATTTTTTAGCCTCGTTACTAGCAGAGATAACCAAAGTATAGAAATAAGCAATAGTATCATCAAAAGCAATTAATTCAGAATCATAAGCATTTAAATGAATATTGAAAGATTGAAGAATAGAACGTACTTTTGTCGTTATTGGTGATTTGTCTCCTCCTTTGGTCATAAAACAGCGACCAGTCACCACTTCGTCATCTTTCTCCTCAAACTTTGCATACATAGCTCCATGCGTACGATTACGCATTTCCTCATCATCTTAACTCGAAGACCAAATTTGGTAATTCCCTTCATCATCATCCTCACCTTTTAACATAAGAGAAATTCCTTTTGCTTTAGCCCGAACTTCCACCAAACGTTCAACATAGTATGCTTCGTCCTTCACCTTGTTTTTCTTTTCTTCCTTCTTTCGAAGCATACCGTCACTTTTCATGTGGTTTGCACCATGACAATAGTGACAGTCGATTTTGGTGTCTCCTTTAAGCTTCTTCTCAGCTTTCACCTCTTCTTCTTTTACATCACTCTTCTCA